CCACATGCCCGCAGGATCTGGGGGCTCCCACACTGGCTGTGACAGGCCCAGGACTCCTGGACCCTGGGGAAGGCGCCTAAGCGCCCGCAGAGCCCGAGGCAGGCAGGGCAGGTCTGGCGCGGGGACCGGGTCTGGAAAAGGCTCCCCGTGCAGGGCCAGCGGATGCCCAGCACCTGCCCCACAGCTGGAGGCCCAGGTGCTGGAGAGTCAGGAAGGGCGTGGCCAGTGCGGAGGCCCCGCCCCCTGCCCTTTGACCTCTCCTCCCGCGCTGGACTGGCACGTGCACAGGTGCACAGTCTCCGTTGACGTTTCCATGGAGACATCAGAGCTCCTGGAACACGTTGGCTCAGTGCGTGTGAGAGCCCCAGCGGAGGAGGAAGCGAAGGAGCAGCGCTCCTGGTCTCCACTCTGACCTAGGCTCGCTTGGCGCACAACTTGCTCTCGATGGGCAATTTGCTGAGCCCGCGCGTGCGCACCGAGGGGAGGGCTGGGGGCTGCACAGACAGGCTTTGCCTCCACACAGCGAGGGGGCATCTCTGTGCTGGGGGAGCCTCTCCCCTTCCATGTGTAAAACACGCCCCACCGGTGACGCGCAGCGAAGCAAGGTGTGCCCGTGCTGGAACCTCAGGCTTCCTGTAGACGTCACACCTGCCCACGCCAGCCCGCAGCCCTCACAGGCAGGCACAGCGACCTGCCCGAGGACCAGGGGCAGAAGGGAAAGCGCACAGGTGGGCTGTACCACGTGTGAAATGGACTCTGGGTTTCCAGTGTCTCTTCCGATCCCAGGGGCAGGCAGAGGTTTCTGGCCCTTCTGCTCGGCCAGGCTCTTAGGTCTGACATACAATGAATTCTAAGAGTCAGGGCTTTGCCCCTCAGATGCATCTTTCTCAGGTCTGTGTTTCAGTTCCCTGGAAACAAGAAACGCCTATAGGAAGCAGGGCTCTGTGCGCAGTCTGCCCTGGAAGGAGCCCCCTCTGACCACAGGCCTCTGGGCGGCTTCAGAGCAGAGGCAGAGGAGCCCAGAGGAGCAGACCCTGCATGTGCAACGTCAGAAGCAGCTCTTGGTGCTCTGGCCAGGATGGGCCAGTCCTGGTGCTGACACCACCTCCAGAAGCCACCACTCTGTGGCCTGTGGGGGCGGGTGGAGCTAGGTGACCTGGGTAACCCAGAGGCCAGGGGCTCAGGGGGGGCCAGGTCCTTGGAGAGCTTGTGAGTGAGGCCTGGGGGGGGGGAGGGGTAACCAGGCAGGGGGGGAAGGTCTCCACTTTCCCTAAACATCCTCCCCCCTTTACAGATCCTGTGCAGCTGGCACGCTGTCCATCACCCGGGACACGGCTGACATCCTGAGCTCCCGGGACCCAGACTGAGGACCAGAGGGTTTTCCAAAGTCATCAATTTCTGACTCTTTTGAAGATTCATCTTCAAACCTTCAGTGACTGGTCCAGGGAAACTTAGTTTGTGAGTCAGGAGGAAAACATCGTTCTTCTCTCTCCTACAAGGAAGTTACCAAAAAATCCTACCAAAAGGGCTTTTTGAGACACATCAAAGCTGAAACCAACAAATAAAAAAGCTTGCCTCATAGCACCCATCTTTTTAACTCGGTGTAAATGATATTACTGCAAAAAGTAAATGCACACTGAGTGTTTTCCTGATAAATTAATCAGAATGAAAACACTGTGGCCTTCCTTTGGTGCAATTTCATTCACTGAATCCTCAGTTTTTATATCTTTGTTCGTCAGAAGGACACGTGCGTTGTTGACAATGAGTGGAGGAAAGTGTGTGTTCACGAGGCTGCCTCCTGTAAGGCACCGGCCGGGGGGTGACCTGGGGAGTGCATCAAGGAGCTGGGAGGCAGGCCCGGTCTTGTGACCTCCCCTTCTTTCTGTCCCTCAGCTGAACCTCAGTTCTCCACACTCTCCCAAGAGCCACAGAAAATGAACGTACCTCAGGTGAGCTCCTTATCCATTCCCCACTGTCTCTTGTAATGGGTTGATGAGGCTTAGAGGGATCTGCGTTACATGGAAAAAGAAATAGAAATAGATCCAGTCAATCTTGAGGGAAAATAGTTTTATATTTGACTGTGAGCTGTGATGTTTGCTGTCAGCTCTTGACAGGTGACCGTTGTCAGGGTAACCAGGTCCCCTTCAGGGGCTAGTTTGCCAAGATTGCTTGTTAGTCATGAATGTGCATGGAACTATATTGGATACCACTTGTGCACCTATTGACATAAAGCTACACTTATTTCCTTTAATGTGTTCATATTTTAAACAATATAGTGGGTTTTCTAATATTAACTTGAATTCCAAATAGACCCTAGTTGCCAATAGGGTGGTAAGTTGCTTTTTGCAAATTTTCCTAAAGCTTTTTGCTGATACTGTATTTAGGATGTTCTCTTTTTGTATCCAAATCGGTTTGGACTATATTTTCTTCTTTTACTTGGGATATAATTGACATTAAGTTGAAGGTGCACAACCTGTTGACTTGATAGATTTCCATATTGTGTATGATTACTACAGTAGCATCAGCTAACACCTTTATTGGGTCACATATTTCTATTTTTGTGTGTTGAGGACAGTTAAGAATTAGTTTCTTTGCAACGTCAAGTTTCTAGTACAGTGTTGACTAGAATCACTGTGTTGAGCCTAGGTCTCCAGAACTTGCTTATCCACTAGTTGCAAGTTTTAGATGATACTTGTTGCTTCCCTTCCCAATTGTGTAGCACGTTCGTAGCCTCATAAAAGGAAATGGGCACTTTCCTGCTCCTTTTCTTTTCTAATCACGCAGATGAGAAGGTCGTGTTACGGGTAGATTTTGTGAAACTCACTTATAAATTTGGGGCTTGAGAGGACTTTTTGCATGAACATTTGGATTAGTACTAACTTTTTGTTAATCTTCACATGAGGATATTTTTTCCACAGCTTTTCAGGGGGAGTTGGGGAAGGTTGGGAGGAAGAGAAAAACATCCATGCGAAAGAGACACATGTACTTCTTGCCTCCCGCACGCACCCCTGCTGGGCGAGTGGGGAGAGAAACAGCAACAGAGATATGTGCCCTTGACCAGGAATCAAACTCGCCACCCTCGGTGCTCTAACCACTTAGAAAACCAGCCAGGGCTAAGCAATTCTTAAAATTCCCTTTTAAAAAAAAGTATGTCCACCATATTTTAAATATGTATCTCAAATATCTAAAATATATTTTTCTCCTCCCTCCTCCCCCAAAAAAAATTCCTGAGGGATGAATTTCTGAGGTCTCCATTCATATACAGGAACTTGAATTTAATGGCAAGACACTATGAATAATAGGGAACAATGAACTATTCAGTAAGTATTCTGGACCAATGCTCACTATAGAGAAAATAAAATTAAATCCCTATCTCATAGCACACACAAAGTAAATTTCATATGCATTAAAGACCAAATGTGGAAGAAAAGTGTAAAATTTTAAAAAGAACACAGAAGAATACTTGTTCATAGAGAGTTCTCACATAAAACAAAAATACCCATAAATCATAAAGGAAAATTTCATGATATTAAAATTAAACTTGGAAAATCCTAAAACACATTATAACCAAGTGAGAAGACAAGCTGTAGACCGAGTTGAGATGTCTGTAGTGCATATAACTGACACAGTTAGGGTCCAGGATGTGCACAGATTTACAGACCAGTAAGGAAAAACCAAACAACCCAGTAGAAAACTGGCAATGGATGTGAATGGGTGATTCACAGTGAAATGACCTGAATATCCAAAAGCTTATGGACAGACGCTCAACTCCATCGATAATCAGAGAATTGCCCCCCATCCCCCAAAAAGTCCTAGTGAAATGGATAGTGGGTGTGGGTGACAAGGTGCTTTGAACAGACTATAGGAAGGTGTGGTTTGCCTCATTTCCTCCGAGTAGAGCAATTGCGATAGAAATATAAGGCCGTGCAGCCTCTATAATGGCACTGTTGAGGGCCTGGAGCTTGTTGCGCAGGAATCTATTCTTCATGTAATTTTTAAAGACCTTTTCCTGGCCAAAAAATGAATAATGCTCACTATGTAATAGTTGGGAAATATAGAACAGCATGAAAAAGAAAATAAATGCTGCCATACAGAGATACCTACAAGCAAGATTCTGGTGTGTTGCCCTGGCTGGCATAGCTCAGTGGTTAGAGCGCCATTCCAGGCACCAGAGGGTCTTGGGTTTTATTCCCAGTCAAGGACACATCCTGTGTTGTAGGTTTGTTCCCCAGGCCAGTTTGGGCACATGCGGGAGGCAACCAATCAATGTGTCTATCTCACCTCTCTCTCTTTCTCTCTTTCTCTCTCTCTCTCTCTCTCTCTCTCTCTCTCTCTCTCTTTCTCTCTCTCTCTCTCTCTCTCTCTCTCTCTCTCCCCTCCTCCTTTTCTTCCACTCTAGCTAAAAAAGCAATGGAAAAATATCCTCGGGTCAGGCTTAAAACAAATAATAAATTTTAAAAAGATTCTGTTTCTTTTTTCCAAACATACAAAAATATAAACAAATACATATAAAAATGTGATTACATAATAATAGATAAGAATTTAATAACCTTTTTTTAAAACTTTTTTTCCACTGGATAAAATTGTGTTGAGTTGCTTAACTTTCCCCTTATATGTACTTCATAAGGATTTATGCTTTTTATGGCCCCCCAAAACCTTACATTGAATGGATATACCATGATATAAGAATAGTATTTACAACTTTATGCCTTTTAAAGTTTTATTTTGGCCTTAGCCAGTTTGGCTCCGTGGATAGAGAATTGGCCCATAGACTGAAGGGTTGCAGGTTCAATTCCAGTCAAGGGCACATACTTTGGTTGCAGGCTTGATCCCCTCCCTGGGTCAGGGTACATGCGGGAGAAACCAATCGATGTGTCTCTCTCAATTGATGTTTCTCTCTCTGTGTCTCTCCTCCTCCATTCCACTCTCTGTGGAAATGAATGGAGAAAATATTCTCGAGTGAGGAGTAACAAAGAAAAAACACACAAAAGTTTTATTTTGTATAAATAAAATTTTGTTTAAAACTTTAAAAGCCATAAAATTATAAATATACATCACATTTTTGACAATCAATGCCTCTCAGCATGTGGTTCAAGGGGTACATGTCTCTATGTTTTCAGAACTCCTCAAGGGCTGACAGAGTAGACACTGCACAAGGATACACTCCGACATTCCGCGCCATGTCTCAGGGTCCATCTGAAAGTGACAGTCTGTCTGTCACACATGGATGACTGAAGGTCTGCCTGTGAAGTCCACCTGCTGGACTCCTACAAGCTGTAAAACAGAGTTGATGGGTTTGTGATCCGGTCTATTCCTGTCATGGTGTATAAAATGGATGTAGTGACCTAGAAGGCAATAACAATAAAAGGCAGAGGTTGGTATCTATTATTCCCTATTGGATTTATTGCTTCCTAGAATCAAGGACCCTTGTCAACTTTTAATTAGTCCACAGGAAACAATTACTCACCCAGAGTACATTATATTCTGTGTGTAGCGCCATAGTAATTTTAAATTAAGGTAATAAACCATGACAAGGACATGGTTAAATAAGAGTGATGCTTAATGTTTATGAGGTCCAAGGGGCACGATTCTTAAATGACGACCTTCTATTAGGTTATAATTAGATAAAATATCCTGTCAAACAGGCAGAAAATGGAACTAACTAGATAGCAAGCTGGAAAATCACATCTGTTTCTTAAATGTAATAATGGAATAAATAACTCGCTTAAAAAAATTCACTCTCAGATACTGATTTAATAGGCTATCTGCCTGTTGGCCGGTGTAGCTCAATTGTTTGGGCTTTGTCCTATGCACTGAAAGATTGCCCATACTATTCCTGGCCAGGGCACATGCCAGGGTTTCAGGCTCAGTAGTGGGTGTGCAGGAAGTAGCCACTGATGTTTCACTCTCACGTGGATGTTTTGCTTCTCTCTCTCTCTCTCTCTCTCTCTCTCTCTCTCTCTCTCTCTCTCTCTCCCTCTCCTTTCCTCTCTCTCTAAAAATAAAAAGGAAAGATTTTTTCCTTTCACTTTGCAAGTATTTTTTTATTTTTTGTTATTTTTATTTATTAAACATTTTTAATGTTGGCATTATTTTAGGTGTTCCCCTCCTTTGTACATCTTCACCCACCCCCCAATAAAAAACTTTTTTTAAAAAAAGGCTATCTCGCTAAACCAGTTTGGCTCAGTGGAGAGAGCGTCAGCCTGCAGACTGAAGGTTCCCAGGTTTGACTCCGGTCAAGGGCATATACCTTGGTTGCGGGCACATACCCAGTAGGAGGTGTGCAGGAGGCAGCTGGTCGATATTTCTCATCGATGTTTCTAACTCTCTATCCCTCTCCCTCCCTCTCTGTAAAAAATCAGTAAAATATATTTAAAAAAGGCTATCTGCATTACTAGTATAACTGTAGACCAAAAGAAACTGAAAATAAGGACATTAAGACAATCACTTAGGATACACTTAGATGTCCACAATTCTATTACTGCTCAAATATACATAGGTCATAATTTATAGTCCAGCTCTGTTTACTCATATTCTTGGGCTCAAGGTGAGAATTTTAACTTAAAACAGTAGATTAAGGAAACATTATTAGAGGCATTTTTCTGCATTGTACTTACCTGCTGTCTGTAGTCATCACTATAGATTTAATATCATAAGCTGGCTTATTACCAAATAATACAAATAAGGCAAATGAAACACTGGTTTTGCCATGTGATAGATTTGTGTAAATACGTACACCTCGCTTTCTCCTTAGAGGAGCTCTATCTCTCCCAGGAGGTAGTATCAAAATCTCCTACTAAGTATGTTCCCAACTTGGACACAAATGACACTCTCCCTGTGCTCTTCATCCTCACACAACTGCACGTGTGGCCCAGTGACACCGAGACGTGGAGCTGAGGGGCTCAGAAAACACCGTCCCCTCTGAGGATGGGAACGAGTCCATGGGAAATGTGGCTAATGTGGTTCTGGGTGAATCACAGGACTCAGTCATAAAACACGGCTCCTTCTCGGCGGGTCCAACTGGTGTGAACGCATGAGAGGGAAAGGGAGCTTCAGTAACAGTTTAGCTTGTTGTAGTTTTCCACACGCAAAAAGCCCCACCGTCATAATGCTTGGTCACAGTCCTCTCTCTAAATGCCTTCTGGCTATCTGGGATTTATTAAAGTAAATGTGAACGTTAGAACCCTTAGAAGCTACACTCACTCACGTGGACAATTTTAAAAGGAAGAAGAACCAAGAAAGACCGTTTACAGCTGCTTTTTGGCACTGCCAGGTATGAGTGCTTGTCCCTGACTGCAGTACTTGAAGGTGGTAGAGATTCAACACTCAACCACTTAGCAGAGTGGGGCCAAGGAGTTCCAGGTGTTCCAACTGACCAACAAGCCATTGCAAGCCTGAGGCTTTAGGAACTGTTACTGGATGAGCGGCCCCTGGGGCTGCCTTGCCTTCTGAACTGAGCACATCTCCTAGTTTTGTAGGTAGAACTACCTAGATGGACTCATCTGTTGACCCCAAAACAGTGCTTAATGACTTTCTCTGATTTTGAATGTTCACCTCAATTGAACTTCCTTTTTTTTCAATCCTCACTCAAGGACATGTTTTTAAAATGTTTTTATTGATTTTTCAGAGAGAGGAAGGGAGAGGGAGAGAAATAGGAACAGCAATGATGAGAGAGAATTATCAATCGGCTGCCTCCTGCACATCCCCCCTGTGGATAGAGCCCAAAACCCAGGCATGTGCCCTGAACTGGAATCAAACCACGACCTCCTGCTTCATGGGTCTACGCTCAATCACTGAGCCACATCGGTGAGATCAAGGATTTTTTTTATTGGTTTGAGAGAGAGGAAGAGAGGGAGAGAGAAAGAGAGAGAGAGAGAGAGAGAGAGAGAGAGAGAGAGAGAGAGAGAGGTCAATCTGAGAGGGAAACATCCATCAGTTGCCTCCCATACACTCACCAACCAGGGATTGAACCCGCAACTAGGTATGTGCCCTGCCCAGATATCTAACCCGCAGCCCTTTGGTTGGTGACGCTCCAACCAACTGAGCCACTGGCCAGGGCTTCCATTGTATTTTTCTAAGTGTTACAGCCACATACAGTTCACCAAACCACCGCTGACCTTTCTGGTCCCAAATACCTGAAAACCCTCGGGCATGGAATGATGGGCACATTACATCCAATAGACAGACATCAAAACACACACACGCCTTTGAAAACACAAGGTGCCCCGAGAAAGCACAGACCCTGACTGCCGCAATGCCCAGCTGCCCACTGTCACATGGCCACTATTTTATGAAGAAGTCGGTAGCCCCTGGACTTCGGAAGCGCACCAAGTGTCCTTTGGGTCTGGGCTGGATGCTTACTTGGACCTACAATGAGGGTCCCACCTTGCTGACCTGGGTCTCCTTGGAAACCAAAGAGAGGGCCAGTCACCACCCGCCACAGGCTCCACATGCTTCCTGGGAGTATGTTTGACCTTACATGGGGGCTCGGTCCTGCAATATTAGAAAGTGTCTTTAGATGCTATCATTGTATATTCCAATGAGTAGATATTAAAAAGATGATGTTGACTGAGAAGTGAAGGATGGAACCTGTCCTGTGGAGGCGCTTGCGTCAGTATCTGTAGGTCTTTGAGCAGAGATGCTGTTTTCCCCCCACTCTCCTGCCTCCTGGGTATATGCCTGGCATTCCTGAGTCCCAGGGATGACGAGGGATCCTTCCTGCTGCATCTTACCGGGTCAGTGTGCTGCTTTACTGCCAGTTGGAGGTCAGCTGAGTTGATTTGCTCTTTGGGTGTTAGAACTATTTTATTTTTTAATCATTACATATTCTAATATTCTCACAATAAAAATATATTGCTTTTGTATTAAAAATACCAAAAAAGATGATGTTATGCCTTCTCTTTTTTGTGTGTCATCTGAACTTTCGACTTGTCTATTTTTCCTTCAAGGAACGGTTTCTCAGCCTCCACTGCTGATGCTTTAGATGAGAGCAATCTTTGTCCTGTGCAATATAGGTGCTTAGCAGCACCCTTGCCCTTTACACCCACTAGATGACACGGCACCCACTACCCACCAAGATGTGAGGACTAAGCATTCTCCAGACAATATCAAATGTCCCCTGGGGGCAAAATTGTCCCAGGTTGAGGATATCTTTTAAAAAAATTTTATTTGTTGATTTTGGAGAGGAAGGGAGGGAGGAAGAGGAAGAAGGGAGAGCAAGAGTAAGGGTGAGAGCGAGAGAGGGAGAGAAAGAGAGGAGAGAGAGAGATTGTTCCACTTATTTATGCATTCATTGGTTGATTCTTGTATGTATCTTGACTAGAGATCGAACCTGCAACTTTGGCATATGGGGACGATTCTCTCACCAGCTGAGCTACCCAGCCAGGGCGACCTGCCTGATTTCTTAATATTCCCAGAAACCTGTTATTTTCCTCAATCTCTTGAACTCTTCTATTTCTTTCATGTTTACATGAGAATGGACAGTCATCTTACCAAGAAACAAACACAGGTTCATTAGCTTGGAGACATGGGGAAAAGACTAGATTTTACTGTTTTATAGGTTTCTTTACCTACAATGAATACTCAGAAATCCAAACTATCTCCTCATGTCCAAAGAAGGGGTCATTTGATATTTTTGACATGTTAGCAATTCAACTGAAGGAGATGCACAGCCTGGAATTTAACAGTCTTTGCTGGGAAGCACACTCCTGTGGGAGGCAACCAATGGCTGTGTCTCTGTCACATCGATGTTTCTCTCTCTCCCCCTCCCTTCCACTCTCTCTAAAATTAATGGAAAAAATGTCCTCACTTCTCGGGTGAGGATTAAATAATAACAATAAAATAAAATTATAGCTGTGTAGCACTTTTTAGTGTGTTGATTTCAAGGACTATTCTGAGACTGACTGCACGAATTTCATGGACCGGGTCTCTAGTTATTTTATAAGAACCTAATATTTTCTTTCTGGAAATATAGTACTTTAACACAGGTCAAAGAGGCTTAAAAGATGTGACTATAGCCTCTTTTATAATCACAAGGATATATTTTGTCTAGAATTCAAACCCTTATCTTTGTTGTGGCAATGCACGGTGAGGTGCTACTAAAGGGAAACTCACAGTTTATATCTAAAGTGCTAAGTGAGACAGAGACCTTTCACACACGGAGACTCCATTACAGCATGGAAATCAGCCTGTCAAAGAATAAGTCCACTCTGGCACTGATGAAATTTCCTACACTAAAGACAGTAAAAGCGTGAAGTCAGTGTTTATGCCAGCTCACCAATAGCTTTAATAAAGTTTAAGTTGATTTCTTTAAAAACATTAGATATTGATCATGTTAACTCTCTCATAAATAGCTCCCCAATCCATCCCCTCCCGCCAGCCACCCCCAGGACTTCAGGCCTGTCGTTTCTTTCCCACCCATCATTACAACCTTCTCACTAGTATCACTGGCTCTGGTGGTGGGTTCCATTTCCTCCTCCACCTGGATATCTGACTGTGTCATACTTGTCCACTTTCAGGACTTGTATGACCCCCACCCGCACACTGCCTCCAGAACAATCCAAACTCCTTGGCATGTCACCCAATACTCGGGATGAATTGGCTACAACCTACCTGTTTCTTGGCTCACACCAATTCCCAAACGGTCTTTTAGACTCTGGCCAGATGCAGGGACCTGGACTTCCCCAAGACTGAGCTTAGCCTGGCCGGGGTGGCTCAGGGGACTAGCTTCCTCCATTCACCAAGAGGTCACTGGGTCCTTTCCTGCAAACTGACTGGGTACTGTCATGAAATCTATGCCTGCGTTGGGGGCTTGATCTGCAATAGCGGGCGTGCAGGAGGCAGCCAAATGATGTTTTTATATCTCACTCCCTCTCTCTCTAAAAAATAAAATAAGAACATTTTTAAAAAGTGAGCTTAGACACCACCTCCTCTGAGAAGCCGTCCCAGATCCTCTCTCCCCTAGCTTTTCTGGCACAGGTATTCCCAGCACATGCTTTCGTCTCTTACAAACCCTTAACCTGGATCATAATGAGCTGTTTGCTTCTGGCTCTCAGAGTAGATGATGGTCTGTCTTCTATCACCACCTCCTGGAGCGCCCGACACAGTGGTTGTCACTAACAAGAACTCAGTAATGCTTGTTGAGGTGAATGACCTGAGTTCTCTTACTTGGCATTTCAGAAGCCAAGTTCTTCCTACCTAAAACACATCTTAACAGTTCACCTGAAGCTTAGTAAGCTCTAGTAATTATAAAGAATTGTGCTAAGGGCCGGGAATGTGGACCACATAATGGTGAATAAAACATCAAACTCTTCAACTAACTACACTCCCAGCCACTTCACATGCAGTAACTAAGTATATAAGGAAGTACAAGGTGCTGTTAAAATACAGCAAGGGAAGCAGTTACTCCTGCTCGAAAAGCTATTAAGAGCCCCTTTGAGTTGGGCTTCAAATGAAACCAAGATTTCATCAGTGAAAGGACATAAAGCCCTCAAAGTCATGAAGATGAGGAATCTATCCTATCTAATAAAAGAGAAACATGGTAATTAGCCATACCTCCGCTACCCTTCCCATTGGCTAATCAGGGCAATATGCAAATTAACTGCCAGCCAAGATGGCGGCCGGCAGCCAGGCAGCTGATGCGAAAAGGGAGGCTTGCTTGCTCCAGTGACGGAGGAAGCCAAGCTTCCCCGCCTGCCTTGCTGGCCTCTGAGCTGCAACTCTAAGAAACTGCTGGGGTCCATCCCCAGCAGGTCCAGGGGTCCCCAAAGGTGTGGACGGAGTCGGCGATGAAGGAAGGACACAGAGAAAGCATTCAGTTGATCATCATAGCCAGGTTCTGTCCAGGATCTCTTGCCATGTTCTGTCTAGGTTCTCCAGCCAAGTTCTGTCGCCAGGTTCTGTAGCCAGGTTCCAGCCAGCTTCTATCCAGGTTCTCCTGCCATGTTCTGTCTAGGTTCTCCAACCAAGTTCTGTAGCCAGGTTCTGTCCAGGATCTTTTGCCATGTTCTCTCCCTAGGTTCTGTATAGGTTCTCTAGCCAAGTCCTGTCTCTAGGTTCTGTCTAGGATCTCCAGCCAAGTCCTGTCTCTAGGTTCTGTCTAGGATCTCCAGCCAAGTCCTGTCTCTAGGTTCTGTCTTCTGCTGTCTTGTTACAACTGTATTTATACCAGTTGATTTTAATCCTATCAATTTCTATTCCAAAAGTTAGGGTGTTTCTTATCTCCATTCCAGGGAGTAAAGATTATGTAGCTCAAGCATGATTGTTTGTAGTTAAAGTGATTAACTACCCGCCTGGCACTTAGTTAAGGGGTTTTATCCCCTCCCTAACTTCAAGGGAAAATCCCTACCTGGGAAAACAACCTTTCTCAGAGAGGTGACCTTGGTTAAAACACATAGCACCAAGAAGGTGAGCAAACATATTAAGAACAGTATGCCATATATGCCAGGTCCCTTGAAACAGCAAGGATGGACAGGCTCCCGGCAAGAAACATTGTAACAAATATAGAAGCTAAACCAAACCCCAGAAACCTGCTTTAGTCAGCCAGGCTTCAGCCAGCAGGACCACAACATTGTTTCAAATACAGAAGGTAAACAAAGGCCAGAAACCTGCTTTCAGCAGCCGAGGCCTCAGAGCTAAAGCTGGCCCAGAATAAAAAAGGAAAGAAAAAAAGGAGCGGTTGGGAGCTTCAGTCACCTGCCAGCCTGAAAACAGCCCTCAGCCCCTCACCCAGACTGGCCAGGCACCCCAGTGGGGACCCCCACCCTGATCCAGGACACCCTTCAGGGCAAACCAGCTGGCCCCCACCCGTGCACCAGGCCTCTATCCTATATAGTAAAAGGGTAATATGCCTCCTGGCACCGGGATCAGCGGAGCAGCGAGGCCTCCCGGCACCGGGATCAGCGTGACAGGGGGCAGCGCCCAAACCCCCTGATCGCCCTGCAGCTCTGTGTGTGACAGGGGGCGGGGCCACAACCTCCCTAGCCACCCTGCTCTGTTCGTGACAGGGGAAGGTGCCCCAACCCCCTGATCAGCTCTGCTCTGTGCCTGATGGGGGGAGCTCCCCAACCCCCTGATCGCCCTGCAGCTCTGTGTGTGACAGGGTGCGGCGCCTCAACCCCCTGATCGGCCCTGCTCTGTGTGTGACAGGGTGTGGCGCCCCCAACCCCCTGATCAGCCCTGCTCTGTGCCTGGTAGGAGGGAACTCCCCAACCCCCTGATCGCCCTGCAGCTCTGTGTGTGACAGGGGGCGGGGCCACAACCTCCCTATCTGCCCTGCTCTGTTAGTGACAGGGTGCGGCACCCCAACCCCCTGATCGGCCCTGCTCTGTGGGTGATAGAGGGCGGCGCCCCAACACCCCCCCCCAAGGGCCCTGCCCTGAGTGTGACGGGGTAGAGCCATAACCTCCCCATCGGCCCTGCCCTGAGTGTGACAGTGGCGGCGCCCCAACCCCCTGATCGGCCCTGCTCTGTGGGTGACAGGAGGGAGCTCCCCAACCCCCTGATGGGCCCTGCTCTGTGCATCACAGCGGGGAGCTCCTCAACCCCCCTGGTCAGCCCTGCTCTGTGTGTGACAGGGTACAGAGCCCCAACCTCCCTGATGGGCACTGCTCTGTGCATGACAGGGGGCAGCGCCCCAACCCCCTGATCCGCTCTGCTCTGTGTGTGACAGGGTGCGGTGCCCCAACTCCCCTATTGGCCCTACTCTGTGAGT